ACTCACCTTCATGCTATCATGTTCATAGCAAATTCACATAAAGCAACCAAGCTAAATCCTACAAAGGCGTAGGAGAGAAAATTGATGAATGAGGCCAATGCTCAATGCAAAAGCATGCCAAGCAAAAAAATTCATTTTTGCTTCAAATGACACAAGACCAGTTCCAGAACTACCATCAAGAAGTCTATTTTCATGTGTCAAAAGCTCCAACTCAGATTCGAAGAGAAAATTTTCGAATGTTCAAAAAACAGCCAGCAAGCTACTATGAGTTATTTATCACAAACACTTGGCATGCATTATTCAAGTGAGCTTGTCTAAGTCTTGTTTATCACCAAGCTAAAACCCTAAATCACAAGCTCAACCTCAGAATTCAGTGCCTAATTCACAAAGTTTTGAGAAATACAAAGGAACTCAAGCTTCAAGAAAACAAGCATGCATCAATGGCATCAACATCAATCCATGAACACACTTCAGAAAAATGAGGGCAGGGAACACTACAACGGTTGGATGATCCTCAACTTTGGATATGTTGTAAACAACACAATTTCAAGCAAATTTCATGAAGCAAGCATAATCATCAGGGCAGCAGATATTAAAAACAAATGCAGAAACTGAATCTGCAGAAACTCACCAGCCATTAATGAACACAGAAGCTGCAAACCCTTTTTGGAGCATCAGGAAAATTTAGAAAATTCTCAAAATTTCACAGACTTTAGTTATCAAGCAGATGAACAACTTTCATGAAGGAAGTTTTCTGATCGGAGCTTCCGAAAACTGACTTCCGGATTGATGAACAGTACCCACGGGTTTGGTTCTTGAAGAAGAAAAAGAAGAAGAAGAAGCAAAAGGAGAAGGAGAGGAAATCAGAAAATAAAGCATGTGCCAAATGAAAGGAAAAGAGAGCACCCACTTGCAAATAGTAAAAGAACTTCAAAGTGAAAGGGCAATGTAATTTTGCACACTTGAAGGCCAAGCCGGTCAAGGAGCCAATGCGCAACTCTCTTCTGCTATCTCAAGCCTGTATCTCTCCTTCAACCCACAATGCATCAATACAAGCGTTTGTGGATCAATACACATATCAACTTTAGCAAAATCACGTGCCAAGCTCCCAAGCCAACAACAAGCAACATGCCAAGCAAGCTCAGTTCGAGCAGAACTCTCAAGCCTATACCGTACCAGTGAACTCTATACCACATGTCAAACAAGACTCTTGCTAACAAAACAAGGCCCTGCCAACTCTCACATTCCGTTCTCTTGGTTGTGATAGAAAGCAAGAATAAAAGAAAATAAATACTGGGGGCTTGGATATGCTAGTCCTGAGTGACACCTCAGTCTTATGCTACCTGGATCCACCGCAAGCATTGCTCACAATTCTTTGGACCTTGCTGCATTGCTCTGGGGAAAACCCAAGGAGAGTTCACAAACTGCCAAAAGAGATAAGCCTCTGACCCATCTTCTTAAGCCTTTCTATTATTATATACTCATGCTTTATAACCATAGGAGAGCATAAGGGCAGAGCTATGTTCTAACTTTTAAATAAACAAATGAAAAGGCACTCCACTTATGAGAAGTTGTTCATCCTCCTTAGTCACCAACATGCCCACCACCTTTTCAAGAGAATTACTATCTCTGGAGATAAAGAATTTCTAAGTGGGCATTTCCCTGTAGAGCCATGGAGTCCGTATTTCCTCAAAGACCTTTTCTACTTCACTCTCCTACTTATTCGCACCAACCCACTACATCGTTGCACTACAATTATTCTAATCACTCTTGGTGCGTGAATCATCTAACAATCCCATATTGCCACACCAGCCACCTTCATTAAATGTCTTTGGGATGGGGAAGCCATGCACTTGGAGCTATAACAACATGCTGTTAGTCACTCCTAGAGCTGTTACAAACCACTTCCCTTTTTCCCCAAACTTATTCCTAACCCCTAAAATAACTCACAACCTTCCAAGCAAACTCAGTGACATAATCATAAATTCAGACAAGATGGGGAAGCAATTCTTGGCGGTCCGAAGCGATTTCTGCAAAACACCAAAAACAATCCAGATTGGGAAGTTTGGAAAATCAAAAAAAAAAATCATCAGCAATAATGCAGAAGTAAAGAACCAGTGACATGAATCATGCTACCATTGCAACAAAGGTATAGCCCAAGCCACATCGTGCAGTGATCAAAGCGAAAGTTTAAATCATTTTCACAAAATATCACAAGCACAACATACCAAGCATACAAGAAAAAGCCGAGCGTACACACCAATGCCAAGCATACATTTCAAGCATGCAAGCCAATATCAAGCATACGAGCCATTGTCAAGAATGCAAGGCAATACAAAAACCATAACCATGCTAAACCAAGCATCTCTAGTCCCTCAAGCAAATGAATCATGCAAGCTAACCTCATCAGAGAAAATTCAACCAAGCATTATCCTCTATGTCAGGCCAACTCTTGGTAACTCCAGTCAGTGATCTCCAAAATTACAGTGCCTAGGAAAGTTCTTCAAGGCGACACTTTCGGTGTCTAAGAAGATTGGGTTTTAAGCGGGACCATTGTGACCCCTCCGACCTTCCCGGAAAAGACCTGGCTGTGATTTTGGAAACTATTAACTGCAAAGAACCAACCATGCCATGCCACTGCCATTCATTTTGGGCTCGAAATTGATTATTTGGCCCATCTCGCTGCCACTTCATGGCCCCAACAATCAAGGGGGCTAATGTTGAGGCCCAAAAAATCATAGGACAGGCCCATGCATATTTTAAAGCCCAATCGTTATCATGCTATAAAAATGGCCTAGCTGATGCACACATGCCATGCCAAGCAAGGCTAAAATTTGGCACGTGGGGAGGTGGTGGTACGGGTTTACCACTTTCACATGCAAACTTGTAAGAATTACAAGGCTTCACAAGCCCAAGCCTACCAAGCCCGCTGCACTGTCAAGCATTATCTAACGTAAAGCCCAAGCCACCGCAATATAACATAGCCCAAGTGTAAGCACGCAATAACACGCGATGCCAAGCAACTCCCTTTTAGCGTCAAATTACGCAACAAGCTTAAGTGGGCCCAAGCCACATACGTGCCTGGGGCTTGCTGAGCGGGTTGTGGTGTGGATGGTTACAAGGATCCATGAGGCCCATTAAAGGTTTAAGAGAATGCAGGTTTTGGGCTGCTTGGGAGCCCCAAAATCCAAGCCCATTTTCTTGAGCCCACTAAATGGGTAAGCAGAGAGAAAGAAAAGCCCAGCACCAGCACGTTCTGTGCGACCGGTCGCCAGGACTGGGCGACCGGTCGCTTTTGCACAGAATCGAAATTCCAAAACAACACAGCTGCAGCAACCGGTCGCTTGCACCTTACGACCGGTCGCTGGTCTCGATTTCCAGCTTCTTCTAATCTGCTTCAAAACGACCGGTCGCTCATCCCTTGTGACCGGTCGCTTCCCCCAACACCTACCCATATGTGCAGCACCTCTCCCATACGACACTAAACCAACCATACGACACCTAAACCTTATCCTCTCTCCCAAAAACCAACCACCCGGCACCTACATAGAATAAAGAAGCCTTGTCATCTCAACTGGGAGACAAGGGTGCATAGCCGGAGTAGCATGCGCGACCACCTCGATG